GAGACTTGGTGACTTGAACAGAGGGATGACCAAGCCGGCAATGCCATTGATAGGGAGTGACTTTGACAGAGTTGACCACTGGTGACGAACTGAAGGCAGGGAGAGAATATAATCCACGCTCACAGGGGCCCTTGAAAAGAACTTGGTTGGTGGTGTTGTCCCGAATCATAAAATCCTTTGAAGTGAAAAGTAGGGAACAATTATTATCTTTGGTAAATTGATGAACGGATAAAAGGTGAGAATTAATATGAGGAGAATGAAGAAGATTGGTTAATGTAAAGGTATGGTTTGGAGTGGTGAGTATACCTGAGCCTGTATGGTCAATAGGATAAGTATTACCTCCCGCAGTTGTAATAGAATTGGTGCCATGATAGGGTGAAGAAGTATGTAGCCGAGAAAAATCAGACGTCACATGGGTGTTCGCTCCAGTATCTAGATGCCAGTTCGGATTGGTTTCAGCAGATTGATTGGTGTAGTATGCCTGTGGAGGACCGGAGTAAGATTCATCGTAGCGGTGCCAACAATTCCAGACCGCATGACCGGTCTTACCACACAGTTGACACGTGATGCCGACCCCACGCCCACCACCGCGACCTCGCGGTTCCTCACGGTAGGAAGGAAGTCGGTCTCCTCTGCCGCTGTAGCTGCTGCCGCGGGAGGGCCCTCCACGGCCACGATATGGCCCACGGCCACGACCCCGGCCAGTACCTCGTCCTGAATTGGTGAATAATGCATGGTGAAGATCTGTTGACGATGGAGAACCAGTGTCACCAAGGTGCAATTTCTTCTCAAAGGTGAGATTTAATTCTTCCGAGAGTAACCACGCAGATACTTGATTAAAAGTGACGGTTGCAATATTAGTACGAACGTTTTGTTTGAGCGAGGCATAGTCCGTAGGGAGGCCTCGAAGCACACACAGGATAATATCTTGTTCAGAGATGTCCTCATGAGCCAATTTCAGAGATGAGACAATAGTGAGAACAGTGTCCAGGTATGTTTGCATGGAATCAGTGCCCTTTTGAATGCTATGTAGGCGCTCCTTCAATTGAAAAATATGAGTACGTGATAGAGAATTGTACCGTTGTTCGAGGTGATTCCAGATCGCAGCAGAGGACGGAAGAGCATGAATATGAGTCTGAACGGTTGGAGAAACAATAGCAAGAAGACAGGCCCGGATTTGAGCATCAACAAGAACCCATGAGTCATAAGCAGGATTGGGTTTCATAACTGG